AAACATAAGCATTTTATTGTATTGTTTGTTTGCAGGATTCCCAGTGCTGCCCACGTCTCATTTGCTATTTATTATGTTGGGGTTTTTTAGGGTAAGTGATAGCTAGTTCATTATCCTGGCGTTAATAACACTGCCCCATTCGAGCTCCAGTAACTGTCCTTGTCCGAGCTCTTAACCTACATAAAAGCTTGCAAAATAATTTGACCTGGTGTACCGTAACAGCGCTAAACCAAATTATCTTGCATCTGCCATAGTTCAAAAACCCCACGCTAAGAGTTCCCGCGGCTCAGCTGATGTTGTGGCTTACATCATACGGGACGTAACACCACCCCCTGCTCTGAAATTTATTTTCTTGTTTGTGGCTGGTGGGAGCTTGCTTTCATGTTTTTTGCCAGTCAGGATGCAGGTCTTGCTCGCCAATACACATTTATGGTTTGCCCATAATCCATGTCACGTGCTTATACAGGGCTGGGGCAAGACAACGCTGATGTGGCTGCGATGACGTGGCGCTATGATTGCTTCCGACTGCAGCAATTGCATGTTGAGTATCGCTGCGCTACCGCAGAACTTCACTTGGGTGCAAATGCTTTTCCAAGTTCACAAACTCCCTTTTCCCCATTCACAGTCCTCCCTTGGGAATTGTTTTCTAATGCCTCTAATTATTTACACAAGCACAGAAATTTTGATGAAGGAAACAAACTGAAAAGTTAATCCATGTGGAAAAAGCAGCTGGTATGTTCGCAAGAGGTTCTAATCTTTGTTACTTAAATATTTAATGTTTTTCCACTGAACTTTTGCCCTGGTGAATCTAAGGGTTCACTTATATCAAGCAGGCTGGGTTTCTTGAAATTTTGCTAGTTACATTATTAATGTCTGCTCTTCAAAACCAGAGTCACTGCTGAATTTCAGAAGTGTCCATTTGAGATAGATACAGTTACCAACTGCTTTACAGTAATAGAATATGCAGTAACAGTGTGTGTATATATGTAGAAATATACAATATATGTTATAGTAATCATATATATAGTAAGTAGCCCCAGTAAACAGCTAGTTACAAACCTGCCAGTTTGAGGAAAAGAAGATAAATGTACAAATCAGTGCTAGTGTGATGATCTGAAGCACAGCATCTGTTTAGGCTCCCATTCTGCTTCTGCTGAAACCAAAGAAGCTCCAGTTAACTTTTAAATGTGGTTAAGAGGGCACTGAGAAGTCTTGCAGATGGAAATCGGATCAACCTCTACTTCAAATCCACCATGCTTCTGAATGCAGAGCTGGATGGAGCGTGCTTCTGTCTCCTGTGGGAAGGAGGAATACTTACCTTCCGCAGAAAGGGAAAACGCTCGTTCCGTTGTTTGGAGAAGACCAGTTCTAATGACGTTCGCTGTAGCAGTTCACTCGGTAGCCACATAAAGACCTGTGTTCTGATCTATCAAGTCCCTTAAGCGAGATGCTAGTTCCACTTAAAGAGCAAGACTCTCGGGAAACACCACTATGCTTCCCTGAACACAGTCAGATCCACTTTATTTTTATTTTATTTTTTTTTAACAAACACCTTATATCACATTTTTTCCAGTAACACGTATGTTCCAATATGTATCCAGGTCTTTCTAACGGTGAAGCTGCTACACAAACTTTCTGACCAGACCATTCTGTTTACAGTCAGTATTTTGTGAAGAGTGAAACTTCAGAATATACCCCTTTTTAGGATTTCTGTGAGATGGGTCTGCCATACCTCAGGTCAGACTGAAAGAACAGGCTTGAATTCCCCCAGTTAGCTCTTCTACTTGGGCCAGTAAGTTAAGAATTAAAGCAGAAGGGAAGAAAACTATCGTTTTTCCCATTACCGTTCATAAGGTAAGCAAGGCACGTGCTGGCCTCGCTCCTCGGACGCAGACGCATGAGCGGAAATTTCTGCTCCTATTTTTTTAAGACTTCTGGAACGGCCCAGTTCAGGATAAGCAGCAGAGGAAGCATCATAACTTCAGCGGGTGAGGCTGAGCCACCTGCCCTGGAACATCCCCGCGGCCCTTCGGTAAATGCCAGCAGCAAAAGAGATGCGGCGTACTGACGCCTTCAGCCCGTCATCAGCAGCGCCACGAATACCGAGCTTGATTAATAGAAAGCACCAATGCACTGTTTACAGTACATTAATACTTTTTTTAAAATTTATTTTAATTTTTTAAAAGTCATTCCATCAATACGATGAATAGTTCTCTCAAGTAACTGAATCCTTAACAGAAAGACTGAGGTTTCGAATGTATTTTTCTCCAGCCCAAAACCAGAGGACAGCCTTCCAAACAGCGTGTTTGGGTACAAAGTAAGCTCACCTCACAAAAATCCAATAAATGACTTTATTAAATATATTCTTTTCCTCTAAAATATAAATATTTGCTATACTCTTATAAATGTGGAGTAGGTCCATATTTCGTTTGTCTATCCCATCCAAATATGAATCAGTCCAAAATCTGAAAATGAAGAAATAGCATCTGTAATTATCATTATTTTTTCTATAAATATATATAATATGAATTTTCTTTGCAAACTTTTGTTATTCACTTATACTTCATATAGTACTGAGCACCTTAGATTACATACTGTGTCATTTAATTGGTACTAATATAGGAATTTGTAATATTTACAATGCACATACATAGAATCATAGAATCACAGAATCGTTTAGGCTGGAAAAGACCTTTAAGATCATCGAGTCCAACCGTTACCCTAGCACTGCCGCGTCTGCTAAGCCATGTCCCTAAGCACCACATCTACGTGTTAGGTATAACATTCCAGTGATTTCTGAGTGTTAAAGGAATAAGGAAATAGTGCAGTGTAGTTTACATATGTATTTCACCTACCCCACAGTATGCAAGTTTTCACTTTAACCTCTGGAATTTTTTATAGGAGCCTGCGTCCGAATTTTTAAGTTACACTTGGCACAGCAACAAAGATGTCCTGAATCACTTTTTAAAGATTTGACACAGCAGTTTACTTGATGATGTGATGCGAGTTCATACTCAAAACACCCGGTCCCCCAGCGTACCGCCTGCTCTCAGCTTCTCCAGAGATGCTCTCCTAGAAGCTTCCAAGCCAAAGGAGACCCAAGTAACTGCCACAGAAAGTTACGTGACCAGCAGTGGTCGCTAAATGACAAACATCTGTTTGGAAATTGTTGGTAAGTTATGCCCCATGTTATCTCCTACCTTGTGAATTTACACGAGGAATTAATTTTTAAGTGCAAGTACCATGACAGTAAAGGCAAAGCTCACAACCAGGTGAATCCCCTCCCGGGCTTGCTTTTGCCTGGTAAGAGGTGCTGGGAGTGGGGCTACTCTTCCAAATGGAGATTGAGCTGCTGTTCTTCAGTGATTTGTTTCCTGTATTTGTGAATTCAGCCCATGATCTTAATTTTTTAATTAGTTTTGATGATTAAGATACCTATGGAAACCACCACGAACGAATTCCTATGCTGAGAATAAACAGCATGACTTAAGCTTAACGTTCAAAGACTTAGCTTAAAAACAACATGGAACCAAACTGTGTTTTTAATTTTCCTCTTTGCCAGCCCAGTGATGCTAAGTTGAAATTTATGTGCTTTCTCAAGAATACGAGAAGTGGTGTAATATGGCAAGTGAACTTCCACAGACTTTGGATTTATTAGCTCCTGTCCTTCGAAGTGTGAATTTAGGGTGAAAGTCTAAAAGCAAACAAAACCTCACCCCTATATGAAGCAGTTCTATAAGTTGCCCTATAAGAGCAACATAAATGCCATCCCTGTTCTTCTTTCTGTTCCCACCCGGCCATGTTAAGCCAATTCAGTCGATCCAGGTGCAAGCTGTGTGTATCATCTCTGTGGATGAAGGTCAGCATTCCCGCCTGCTGTCTGCTTTGTGCCCAACATTTAAGTGTGAACAAGGCCAAAACTCAGCAATGCGCATGTTTCGGGTTAGAACAGTAAGCTGTGGTGCAGAACAGGAACTAGTATGTTAGGGTATGGAGGTGAACATCTTGCAATTCACCAGCAAGAGGTAAATCTGGACTTGCCAAGTCATGCTCATAGGAGCAGTTCCTTCCATATTAGGGCTTTTCTGGCAGTGCAGCTCGTGTTCCTGCGCCGGTGCATTTCCTCACTGTTGTGGAGCTGCTTTAGTACCTTTTCTGATCTAATCTAGAAAACTGGAAAAAAAAAAAAAAAAAAAAAAAAAAACAAAAAAAAAAAACCCCAAGTCTTTCTCCTTCCTCACATTTGCTCATTTGCTCTTCTGTCAAGACCACACAGCCAGCCTCAGCAGAGCTGAGGGGGTGACACTGCTGGCGTAGGAGGACAGGAAGCTCTGCATGGCATTTTGTTGGAAAACTCTGCCAGGGAAATGTGCTGGCAGAAGCTTAGGTCATGTTTCAACATGGATTCAGGTAACGTGAGGACGCTCCTGCCTACGCCCCACTGACAGGCGGTGCTCCGTACACTGCTACAGCTAGTCTTGCTTGGGATCCATCACTAGGAATGTACACAGGATGTCTATTGTTTGATCTGAAAGTGCCCCGTGGCAGGGGCCCTCCAGCTGTTCACTGACCACAGCTGTATTGCTTTAGCGCATCCTGCTCGAAGATGCGTATTTGCGTGCTCTGCTGGGTCGTCAAGCAACGGGTTCGGACAGCGTCCAAAAGAAAAACCTTCTGTAGGCGGTGCTCAGCTTAGAACTGAAAAAATATTTTACTTTTGGGTGGTGGGACAATCTCATTTGGAGAACTTCTACTCTTAACAACCTTGAGCTTGCATCACAACCAACACCCGCTCTTGTCTGCTTAGCCCTTTACTTATTCTATATAAACAAGTACATTGAAATAGGCACAATTCATGATTCTGAAACATTTACACGTATGGTACTACATGCTTTTACTGTCTCACATGGGGTTTTAAAATCCCATTATTTACAACGAAATCCACTGTTTTACTTGTCGTGCCACCTCTTTAGCTGATCAAAATGAAACCTGGGCCTTGGAGGACTGCAGAAATGGCCAAGGCCCGGTCCTGAACCCCAGGCTGGTGTATGCTGCTAGATGTAGGGGTTGCTGCTGTTGACAGTACTTCAGATTAGCATGGTCGCTCCGTCTTTCTTTGAGGAAACAGATGTACCCCACTTATGCCACCAAGCCAAGTCTTGTAATCTTTGCTGACAGGAAGGAATGAATGATGAACACAATTGGTTTTGGGCAGGAATGAAGGTCCAGTTGCTGAAAGTACAGAAAGAAATCAAGTTGAGAATGATTAGATTAGATTACAGCTCAAATAAGCAATCATTTATGGAGTACTTGATTAACTGCTGCCTGGTATTTTTCAACAGACTTCTATTAATAACAACCCTTTATTACAAAGTATTGTCTTTCCTTTGCATACAGCTGCAAATATTTAGGTTGCTAAAAGTAATAAGCATCCTGAGAGCAGATGAGGTCCTGCTGCCTCTGGGCTTGCATCCACCTGGGTAAGCAGCAGTGAACTGAGTCAGATGCTGCAACCAGTTTTCCAAGAGGTTCAACCCCTCCACCTTTTCCAGCTCTGTTTTTGACCAGGGATGGTGGTGGGGCTGCTGTGTCCCACACCCAGTGCATCTGCTGTTGGTCACAGCTGAGGCCAGGGTAGTTCACCCTCAGCTGATGCTGCACGCTTGCTCCTCTGTTCACACAGCCAGCAGTGAGACCAAACTGAGACTTCTTTTTTTTCCCCCCCATAGTCATGGTTCAGATGATCTCGCCGCGTGCTTGCTAAGCATGGCAGACTTGTCAGGGTGGACAGCAGGTTCAACACGAGGTTCACATCAAAACAAGCTAGATTTGCCTTTCCACCACTCATTATCAACTTTATTGAGAGCTAGGAACAAATTCCCGTCTGAAAGCCTGACAATAAGCAGTTTGCAGAGTACGTGTTATCAAAGGTGATGTGAAGAATTAAGCAACCAACATGCTCAGGAACTGCTGAAAAAATTTGGCAGGAAAGATCATGTTTACATGCATAATTTATGGTATCTAAACTGCCTGTAGGAATAAGCACCTTATTTTAGGCATTGTGACAGCTAACTTAGAGGCCTAAGCACACAGTTTGCACTATATTGGCAGTTTTCAATTTTTTTCATCAACTAGATGTTCAAAAATGTCTAAAACATAGCTTGTTGTCATAACATAAAGTCCCTATGTGTACATTGGAACTAGTAATAGCTTGTTCTTAAGTTCTTCCAACCGCAATCATTTAAAAAGTGAAATGGATACATACAAAAATTCTAACATCTGGCTATTTAGAGATACAGTTTGTTCTTAAATGTAAGAAATCTTTCATCCCTCTCTGTATGGTTTTACCATTTTATCTCTCTTTTTAGTTTATCTCCTTCTAGAGCCAGACTGTCATGCTGTACTAGAAAGCACGGCATCTAAATACTGGTACTGGAACCCAGTACTGGCCTGCTGTTAACAGAATAGAACAGAACACAATAGAACATTCCAGTTGGAAGCAGAAACAATCATCTAGTCCAACTTCTATTAGTGCTTCTCCAGCCCCACAGCCTGAAGGACTACAGAAGAGATGGTAACGTGCATCCCCTTGCCAAACGCAGTACTTACAATTTCTCCATCCTTTCCTCCGAAGTCTAAATAAAGCATCCTTATCCCATCATCTGAGGATATTTTAAGTTTTTCATAGGGATATTGTGCTATTGTCTTAGAGAAGGCACCATCTTGCGGTTCAGTTGTAAGAGAGAATCCATGTTCGTAATGGATGGTCAAACGGCACTCCTGGCTTTTGTATGTGCAAGCTGAAGAAGGATACAAAATTTAGTCTGTAACGTTCTTAAAAGCAACAAATTTCATTTGGCTGCAGATACCTGCATTTTACATTCAATCTCAACGCTGTCTTGTGGAAACTAACCTTTCCTAAAACTGGGCTCACCATGCTCTAACTGGAAACCTGCAGCTTTGGAAAAACAGCAGAAATCTTTCTGTTGTGCGAGACCCAAGCAAGGTTTGTTAGTTATGACGTAAACACGCAGACTAAAACTGTGCTCGGCAGTAGCAGCACTGATGTCAGTCCTCTCAGTTATTCGCTGCATTCCTCATGTTGCAGCATACATCTACGTGCTGACACAAAATCGATCTACAGAAGTTTAGGAAGGCTCAGGCTGGCATTTCCTCCTTCCAAACCTTGACAAAGTCACAGCTACTCTTCTTCTTACATCTGACAGACATAGACAAAATCAATAAACGCGGCACACAACGCACAAGAAAATTAGAAGCTGTAAAGGGTTTCCCTAAAGTACTTTGACAAAGATGAAGACACTCCTGAGTCCTCATTAGTGTTGTGGTAATTGAAAAAGGGCCCAGATAATTGTATATAATAGCTGCTGCAGCAGAAAGTCTGCATCTTCCCCTCAGCTCGGAAACATAGGCCGTGATCTAAATTAAAAAATGAAGAGTTCAGGTGTTCACATCCCAAATTCTCTTTTCCACCACTTTCCTGTGAACAATTCTGCCAAGAAGGGTCCTTGGCACTGGGATAAAAGAACCACAATAAAAGAAGGGGCTAATGCCGTCCTGCTTTTGGAAAGGCACCCATGTCCCTGGGCTGAGGAGATGGACATGCCCTCGAGGTGGTGCCCACTGAACGCTCTGGTTGGTTTCCACATCAGAGGCCCTCGCAAAGCCTCCTGATCTCCCCGTGAGGCAGCGGGCCTGGCAGCCCATGGGCAGGCATCCTCATGCTCAGCAGTGTGTGGCTGTACCTGATGGCTTCATGGCTTCGGAGCTGCCCTTTGCCATGGAGTAGGTTTGGGCATTTGCTCTTGCTCTTGCGTATTTTAGGCAACGAGTGGAGATAATGTTCAACTTTAACAGCCCTGTCAACTGGCAAGCTAGTGGAGGAAGGACTCCCTAATCCTGGTGGCACTCAAGAGAAAGGCACAGCCTCAAAGCCCGAGAGCCACCCCAGGCTAGCAGCTCTCTGGCCCAACGGGGCATCGCGACAGAGCATCTGCAGCCAATTGCTTTTATTCATAGAATCATAGAATGTTTTGTGTTGGAAGGAACCCCTAGAGGTCATCTAGTCCAACCCCCCTGCAGTGAGCAGGGACACCGCTAACTCGATCAGGTTGCTCAGAGCCCTGTTGAACATTTCCAGGATGGGGCCTCCACCACCTCTCCGGGCAACCCACTCCAGTTTTTCACTACCCTCATTTTAAAGAATTTCTTCCTTATACCCAGTCCCAATCTACCCTTTTTTAGTTTAAAACCATTACCCCTTGTCCTGTCACAGCTGGCCCTACTAAAAAGATTTTCCCCGTCTTCCCTATAGGCCCCCTTTAGGTACTGAAAGGCCGCAATCAGGTCTCCCCGCAGCCTTCTCTTCTCCAGGTCTGTGCTGAGGGCTCCCGAGCTGGACGCAGGGCTCCAGGGGAGGTCTCCCCAGAGCAGAGCAGAGGGGCAGAATCCCCTCCCTCGACGCTGGCCCCGCTTCTCCTGATGCAGCCCAGGGTACGGTTGGCCTTCTGGGCTGCCAGTGCACATTGCCGGCTCATGTCCAGCTTTTTGTCCACCAGCACCCCCAAGTCCCTCTCGGCAGGGCTGCTCTCGATCCCTTCTTCCCCCAGCCTGTATTGATACTGGGGTTACCCCGACCCAGGTGTAGGACCTTGCACTTGGCCTTGTTGAATCTCATGAGGTTCATACAGGCCCACCTCTCCAGCTTGTCCAGGTCTCTTTGGATGACATCCCATCCTTCTGGCTTGTCAACCACACCACTCAGCTTGGTGTCATCTGCAAAGTTGCTGACGGGACACTCAATCTCACTGTCTATGTCATTGATGAATATATTAAACAGCACCAGGCCTGAGGGACACTGCTCGTCACTGGTCTCCATCTGGACATTGAGCTGCTGACCTCTACCCTCTGGATGCAACCATCCAAATAATTCCTTATCCACTGAACAGTCCACCCATCAAATCTCTATGTCCCCAATTTAGAGAACTGGATGTTGTGGGGGAGCATGTCAAAGGCTTTGAGGAAGTCAAGACAGATGACGTCTGCTGGTTTTGCACATACAGAAATGCTGAGAAGCGGCACCCTGATGGGAGGGTGCGAAATGACTAGCTGTCAAAATGTGGCTGTTGGACTGGTTTGTATTTTTTTACTCTTCTCAAGCATGCAGAGCTGAGTGAATAAATGACCAACTGATACCTGTGAATGTGCCAGTCCTCCTCGGCCTCCTCTCTCTGTGGGAGAGACTCCCGCCAGGCTCTCGGGAGCCTCCTGAATCTCAGAAAAATGTTCTTTTCTGGACAAACCTCTGACGATCACTCCTCTGTGACCTGCAGCCCTATATGGCCAACTACAGACTTGTATCTGAAACAACATGCCGAAAACAAGACCAAAAGCCAGAATGACAGTGACTGTGTCATTGGCCACAGGTACCACACCAGCTGGGACTGGCTCAGAAACCAGGGGGGAAATTTTTTATACACATAGAACCCTAAATATGTACATTTTTTTAAATTAATCACCTCAAGCGGAAGGAGCCTGAACTACCCGCGAGTGTCATGTGGAGGCATTACTCACATGTGGTGATTTCCGTGATGAGCTCCGCAGAATTGTGGCAGCCCTGCACTATGCTCCTCGTCCACAGTGAGAGGTCCCGGCTAGTCTCTGTCCTGAACAGATGGGTTTCAATCCCTTGTCTTGTACCAGTACGGGTTGCAAAAGACAAATCCACCCCTGACTGCGGTGAGCCTTTTCCTGGGCCAGAATGGACCAACCTGCAATAGGATTTGAAAACACATCAGGGAATTCTAACACTGACACAGCACACTCTGCCAAAATCCCCACCTGAGCATGGCTCTGCTCTGTACGTTCCTAAATGTATGTGGTTGGGAGCACCAGAACGCGCATCTCCTCTGTAGCTGAGCCTGAAGTGTCTCCTAGCGACACGCAGGAGAGTTAAGGTCCAAAGCAGTGACTACTGGAGCATCTGGACATGCAGGGGATGATGTGGATGTCCCAGAGGGCCCTAAACTCCTGACACATTGTGGAAAGCACCCCTTTGGATGAGGAACCGAGAAAAATTCCCGGCTGGTCTGTGGCACTGGGGTTTGGTGCAGATACAAGTGCTCGCTCAGGTGAGACAGCTGAATCCAACTTTCACTGACAGACTGCGGTTGCCATAAAGCTGCTTAAATATCTGCAGACAAATGCAACGATAAATGCTGTCGGATAAAGTAAGAAGTCCTGTAAAATACGCAGATGCCAAAGTACTGTCTTGTGCATACCTTTCCCATAAGGAACCCGGAAAATGCAAAATGCTGCAGCTATTTGTAATGTGAAATTCTCTCACATTTTGCTGCAATTAACATTTTTTTTGCCTGGCATCAAGAGCTGATCTCCTGTAACCAGGAAGGGTTTGTTCATCTGGGCAAACACTAATTGCAGGGAATATTTTTTGAGCAAGAAAATCAACACCTCATAATAGTTAATTCTTCTTTAATAATTCCTTTTTGGCTTCTTTTTTTTTTTTTTTTTTTTTTTTTACTGCAGAAGCATGGACAATGAATACAGATTACTCTCAGGGGCATGACACTGACTGAGATGAGATGAAAATAACAATCCAAAGGAGTTCCAGAGCTCTCTCTTTGAGACCCAGGCACTAAACTTCCGAGGGAGTCACAAAATGAAACCACGGAATTTTTTCTGAAAAGCTTATTTCTGTCTCGTGTCTCCTGCTTCCCTTGCTATAGGCAAACAATATACTTCATAGGAGACTCTAAAGTAAGTACGTAGCATGGCAGTAGAATACTTGTGCTGAAGCATAAAGCATTGGATTATACTAATCATCTACTGAATGCTAATTCACCCTCAAATTATTGTTTTGCATCTGGAAGAATAGTTGCCTGTTAGCTGACACTGTAGAAGTACGCCATCAAACAGAGATGTTTTAACAGGGAAAAAAACAGAAAGGAAAGAAAAAGCACAACTTTAGCTTTTCAGTTACTGAAACGCTAACCATAGGGCATCTGAAATTTTCCCTGGCAGTCCATGCTGATATTTGGGATGCGCATTGTGCTGAACAGATGCATCCTGCTTTCATACCCCTCCCAGAGCATTTGCAAGATTTGTTCATGCTCAGGTTTGTGGTAACTTTGGATTTTGGGCACCTGCCTTGATTGCATGGTCCCGGGAAGTCCTAGGAGGCAAGGGGCAGGGTATCCCCAGGCAGAGCTGCCCTGTGTCTGGGCAGGAAAGCCTCTTCCAGAGAGGCACCACCACCCTCTCGAAATGCTTTGTTTGCCTCCAGAAGGGCTGTGTTAACGTCCTGCTCAGCTTTGATACTCAGGGCCCTTTGGATCAGGAATAGTGTGGCCAGCAGGAGCAGGGAAGTGATCGTCCCCCTGTACTCGGCACTGGTGATGCCACACCTCGAATCCTGTGCTCAGTTTTGGGCCCCTCACTAAAAGAAGGACATTGAGGTGCTGGAGTGTGTCCAGAGAAGGGCAACCAAGCTGGTGAGGGGTCTGGAGCACAAGTCTGATGAGGAGCGGCTGAGGGAACTGGGGGTGTTCAATCTGGAGAAGAGGAGGCTGAGGGGAGACCTGATCACCCCCTACAGCTGCCTGACAGGAGGCTGTGGTGAGGTGGGGGTCGGCCTCTTCTCCCTGGTAATGGATGATAGGACAAGGGGGAATGGTTTGAAGTTGCGCCAGGGCAGGTTTAGGTTGGATATTAGGAAAAATTTTTTCACTGAAAGGGTTGTTAAGCATTAGAACAGGCTGCCCAGGGAAGTGGTGGAGTCCCCATTCCTGGAGGCATTTAAAAGATGGGCAGATGAGGTACTTAGGGACATGGTTTAGTGGTGGACTTGGCAGTGCTAGGTTAGTGGTTTGACTCTTTGATCTTAGAAGTCCTTTCCAACCTAAATGATTCTACGATTCAATGATTCTAACTGCACCCTGGGTAGATTTTGCAGCTGGGGAGTCACCAGCAAACAAACAGGCCAAAAACTTTTAATCACTTTGATTTGGCAGGAGGAGGAGCAAACTCTGAGGAGGAGCTGCATCTTGGTGATTAAGGCAGGAGATGGGGAACTGAAATCTCCAGTGACTTCTGCTGCTGCCTGGCCCCATCCTGTCACTCAGGCGCAGGCAGGGCCACCGCTCTGGTGCTGCCTTCTGCTACCTGGACAACTGTGGGAAAGCAGCCTGGAAAATCACCTAAAGTTTGTCCTTAAAAGTAAAACCATCCCAGCTTCTCCCTGGGTCATCCCTTCTCTTTTATACATCAGCTGTGCTAAAAATTGTTTTCTAATACTTGTGATACTTGTGATATGTGACAGACAGATGGTTCCAATGTTTTTCCTTTCAAATCCATCCCCCAGCTCCCCTACAACTTCATGCTTTATCCATAGCACTGGCATTGTAGGTTTTTCAGCGTATAGATAGAATGGAGATGTACGTCACAAATTAAAGTAAGTGGACATTGCTTCTGCCTGCTCATTTGCATTATCCCTTCATTTTTAAAAATTCAGTCTCACTATTTAAAAATCCTTTTCTGTCATACAGCTCAAGACTGTGCTTTGGAAAATCATGCAGTTAAACATGAACTAGACAAATATGCAGGGGAACGGTTTATAGTATTTATCTATCAGCTGTCAGTACTGATGTATTTGGGTACAGGTCAAAGGATTCTCAAGCTTCTATAAAGTTGCATTCACATTACGTGTTTCATTTACATGAAAGATGTTTTATCCTAAAGACCACAGAAATACCCTAAAAGGCAAAAATTAGTCGTAGAAACTTCACAGAAGGCTTCCCCTTGCCCTCACCTCCTGTCACTCGACCGCAGAGGAGGTGGTGTGTGTGGTGCACGCTGCACCCCAGAGCCGAAAAGACACCTCAGGGTCGGGTCTGGTAATATTCAACTACAGTCCTTGAAGGTTATTGGGCTCTCTGGAGGTTTCTGAGATGCCTGTGAGGGTGCAGGAGCCCAAGCATGCTTCCCTGGAGCAGCCAGAGCCGCAAGAGGGCAGGAGAAGGTTGGTCACGATCAAGGCTGTTTGCACAGTGCGTAGATAGCAGGCAGTGGCTGTAAAATGCAACTCTTGGCATGCTCCAGGGAGCCAGGGACATCTTCTCTAATTTCTCCCTCTACATTTTGGGGACCTTTTTAGCACTTTTTAGCATTATTCTTTGCAAATGTGTGATAGCAAGATGGGTACGGTCCAATGTGAAGTGCTGGTGCTGGGCGAGATTCACTGGGACCTGCTTCTCATTCTAATGCTATGAAAAGAGTTTCAACCATTTACTGCAACAGCAAAATCTAATGGCCTCTTCAAAAAGGACAGCAAAACCAGCACTGACATTCAAAGCAAGTGTTCAGCTGCTCATTTATCTCAGAAGAGGCTGTGATACACGTTCATCAACAGTTGTGCAGCTCTGCCCATCTGCATCAACAGTCATGCAGTAGAAAGCCACTATCATCCGACCTTTCTTACGTTGAAGCCACTCCCTACCCCTGACTTAGCATTTGAAACCTGCTCTGGAATGGCTGTACTCTTTGGAAACCTGTGCACAGGCCCTCATTCATCCGAGCTCTGCATGGAGGGAGCCACCAGCACTCTCACTGCCCCAGGAAGACAAGCGGAGAACTTGTGCTGCTTGCACGCCACCTCATAGACCTTCCCTGGGGTGCTCGGGGACCCAGTGCTCCCTGCCTGCCCCTCTCTCCGCTTGTAGAGATGACTAACGAGTGCCCAAACTCCTTTCCCAACTTTCCATGGCATTAACTATCAAACTGCTTTAATACTTTCTGGTTACAGACCTCAGCTCTGCACAAAAGCTACTTACCTGATCTTTAATCAGAGTCCAACACGGGCTGCTTTCTTTTCTTTCCTTTCATATCTGGCTACGACAGATAACGCAATTTGATTGCAAACATTTCAGATGTAATTACTTAAGCCCCATTCCCATGCTAGTGGGGAGGCACTGTTGTTCAGGCGTAAGGAAACACTGAAACAGAGATTATGACAAACAGGTCCTTGGAGTCGGGGCTACGAGCCAGCTGTTCTGCCTCCCAGTGCTGAGATTTAAAGGAACAACTTAAATCTCCTGATCTCAGTTTCATTTGAGCTATTACTTATATTCTGCACAAAGCTGGGAAAGACTGACTGGAAAATATTTTTAGGTCTTAATAGCACCCATAGGTTGAAGGCAAACTTATCAACAAACAGAAAGGGCATGTTGAAATTCTGCTGTTAAAATACTGTAGGAAGACTGTAATCCTTCTACCACTTTCCAATTTTCTCTGCTCATTATGTCTCGGGTAGATTAAGCATGACTCTGTACAGTATCTGGCACGGAAGTTTTCCAGTTTCAGCAGCTTTTCAAATATGCATTAGCTAAGCAAAAATTTTTCCCAAGGACTCATAAAAATATGAAAGATGGGAGCAGCCAAGATTACAACATGTGGTCTGCAAACTTTCCAGGTGAAAAGTTCTAAATTGCACTGATCAATGCACAGAGGGGATAAAAAAAAACCATCACAAGGAGGGTAATCACTGACCGAGCATGAACACAGCAGTCAATACCAACAGCAAACCCTGTGTATTTTTTTGGTATAACTGTACTCAGTGTGACAGATCATAAAAGCAGAATCCTGCAGGGTTTTAATCAAAATCATCCAAAACAGCAGGTGTAATGATTTAGGAAATCTGTCAATTTATGTAATCTTCTCACCTTGGGGATTCCTGTATTTATATGTATTTATCAGATTGCGATTCCATTCTGAATGTCAGGTTTGGTGTATCTGCTGTCTTTTTACCCGAGTGTTAAATGCACAGTGATACTAGTAAGAAATGACAGAGATGGGGCTGGAATGGCTCTCCGGGAGGTCACCCGGCGCATGTCCCTTCCCAGAGCAGGGCTAACTGTGCCGGCATGCTCCTGAGGGTTACAGTGTCGCCCGTCCTTCAGAGTCCCCAGTGATGAGGATCATACACCGTTCCTACAGAATCTAATCCAGTATGTCACCCATACACCTAGTTTATCCCAGGGCCCACCTGACACACACACCCCCTGCCACAAACGTGGCTGTGTCCTGCTGAATCCAGCAGGGACGTGGAGAACCTGCTCTCTTGTCCTCTTTGTGTCTCATCTTCATACTTGAAAACTATTGACATGTTTTCCATGGACTTTGCTAGATTAAACAACTATTTCTTAAGTATTCCCCAATTGAGAGTGTTTTCTACATTTGCATTGCTTTCTTCTAGACCTTCCACAGTTAACTGGCATCTTTTTGGAAGTGAAATGCCTCACGTGAAGGTGGTGTATCACCCAAGGCTTTACGCATGCTCTGTAGTTAGGTTAGCTTACTACATCTGCCCAACATGCAACACTTTGCTATAACCCAAGATGATTGTTTTTGTTTTCTCAACAACGTAACACCACAGATTTAAGCAATTTCACCACACTGCCCAGATGCTTCCTGGCAGAGTAACTGCTTTGCCAGTTGTTCTTCACCCCCAACCAGTGCAGCTGATTATTCCCCAGCACTGAACTTCGCGTTTGTTCTTTCTGAACTGCATCCCATCTTTCTTACAGACCATTTTCCCAGTTTGTAAAGACCCTTTAGCAGCCTGACACCTGTGTTGAGCAACTTCTCATTCCCCTCTAGCCTGAAGGCTGAAGATCCTCCACTCACATGGGAATCCCACTGGACAAGGAGATGACTATCCCCATCCAAGGCAAGCCAGCCTGCAATCAAATATGAACTCCTGAGAAAAAGTAATTAAGTAACAGGCCCTCCAAGATGAGGACTTAGATTGTTTGATCCAGTAAACCCGTGGTCACTGATGACGGGGGCTGGCGATGCCCACCAAAGTGCTGTCTTTACATGTGACAACATGTGGGCAGGAAGGGGCAGGGTATGCTGAAGGATCTCCAGTCACTGTAAGGAGGAGGACTTGGGTTCATGTGCAAATGACACCCCAAAGCACTGGGAAGGAGACACATCACCTTCTGCTGGGGTGCTCTTGCTTCACAAACTTGAAGGCCTTAGTGACACACCTGGACGCAGCCTCCAGCTCCCAACACCTTACCCAGTTTTCATCTGGAATTGCCACCTGGAACTGTCAACCTTCATCGCCACGACACGCGGCAGGCTGCAAGCTGCAAATCATGGGGCTCTCACCTCATGTTATGATAACAAAGGGTGAGTCAGAAGCCAGCTTCCCAGGGAGTCTGAAAGCTCCATCACGGGTAGGTAGGCTGGGACAAAACAACCATCAGTGTAATTCACCGAGTTCAGGTTTGTGGGTTTTTTTTTTTAATACAATGATTTAGCGTCAAAGCCTCAGTTCATTTGGGGAGAGGACTAAGAGACCAAGAACAAAAATTAACTAATGAGAATGCAGTAAGAGACCCACTGCTTTTGGTCATGTGCTACCAGCCCTTCTGAAAGAGAACTCGTTGAGAATGGTATAATAGAGGCGTATAGCAAGGCCAAAACAATGGAACAGCAGCTTTTTCTCAAGCCCTTTGACCATACTGGCAGAGAAATGTGATTAACATTCACATCGAGAAGAACAGACAGTTTCCACTGCATAAAGACAACCATGGGAAAGCTCTCTCTGAATTAGTGTTGATGGATACCTTTGAAATAATGCAAATTTCCAACCTAGATTCAAGAATGTGTCTTCCAAGCTCACCATTTTAACCTAAAAAGCCAGGAATTAATTTGCTAGAGCAGGAACACAAGCCATGCTGCAATTAAGTGTCTCCGTCACATGTGCGAGCCCCCAAAAGCCCCAAACCGGTGGTGCAGAACTGCCACAGCAGCATGTCCAACTCAGGGCAACAATTTCACGTTTTTCAGCCTGGAGGAGCGGCTGGAAATCTGCGTGCTTCTGCCAAGCCCTCAGGTCTGTACACTGAGATAGAAATCTCAGGGGATCGAGCTCTCGGCTTTTTCAGCACTCCTACCTCTGGATTTGGGTCAAATGACCGCATCCATAATCCTTCTGGTGGGCTTCTGGCCATCAGCCTCGGCCAGAACTTGAAATGGAGGAGAAGCGAGGAGTTAAACTGAGCACATCAGCCCATTCAAGAAGAATCTGCTTCTCAAACCATGACATTTCAAGTGTGATATATAGCTATGCACCAGCTATACCCGTTCCCAGCTGACTCAGTCGTTCCCACCTCTCTTGAAGCGGTTGTAACAAAAAAGCACAGGTACCTGGTGGCTAGCAGGGGGTAGGTATGCAGAGGGCTGAACCAAGCTTCCTTCATCCGTGGCATGCTCTCATATATTAAGAGGTCTTTCTCCGTCAAGACCACTAACACTGGTTTCCAGTGCTTCTCATTGTCTCCTGGCACCTGAAAAAGAGCAAAGTCTCAGTGAAACAACAAAAGACAAAGATATCGTCGTGGAAAGCCTGATGATATGAACATGTCGAGTCCTGGGCAAGATAACGAACAAAAGGGTTTTACTTCTTTGGCTTTTTGACATCTCCCACTGAATTTATAACCAGCTGCAGCAGAGATGGAGTGAAGTGTAGTGACATCTGCTGCTCTCATCAGCACTGCCATTTCCAGCCCTCCTTGCAGCCTTCCTTTAGTATAGGCTACTCCATAAATGCAGTAGTGGAAGAACACTGAGACAGAGCTGGCTGATATTTAGCTGTGGTACACATGAAAGGACCTTAAATGTATATTTATAATGCGCACCATTCATGTGTAGCTGGCACATTAACCTGAGCGCTGGACACTGTTGCTGCTGTTTCTATTTTCATGACTGAAAAAAGCTGCAACATCATCACTGTTAAAGAAGAGTGTTGGAGAGTAAAAAACAGCGGTTTGGGAGCAGATGCTTTTTTCCTTAGCAGTTCACGTTTTCATCGCTTCTCCTTCCTTCATACCCTTCTCCCTTCCCAATAGTTTTACAAGTGCCGGTTTGTAAAGAGATCCAACCTAAACATGGGGCTGACTCAGTGATGGATCTTCATTTTGAACCCATCTGTAGAAGAGGTCTAAAAACTGGAGCATCAGAGCCCTTTACTGGCTGCAGAATCCAGATGTGGAATTATGTTTTTCAGGTTAGGCATGTGGTCATCCACATGGCTATACAATTACCATTATGGGGATCAAGTATGAATCCTGGGTTTTACTTATTCTATGCTGGCAGCATGGAAGTGTCTTAAAATATACGAGAATATGAAAGGGTCTTAGTTTCAAGTGAGAATGAAGCTCTTGGCTTTCACAGACAAATTCACCATTTTCCTTTTTTTAACCATGTTATGTAGTCCACTCACAGCCATGCTTTCAAACCCAAACTCCCCGGTGGGGTAGTAAAGGGAATGAAACAAATTCTGAGATTCACCGGAGAATCGGGTTGTCTACATGGCTTTTCCATTGCAACCTTCTCTGGGGAAGAGAAGCCTCTGTCTGTGGTGTTCTGTGGTTGATAGCAGCCTACTTGCCATGGGAGTGTGTTGCTGGGCACATCACTGGGTGGAGAAACACATAAAAGGGATCAACCAAAGGTTGGCCAGGCTGAGAGCGGCACAGCCAGGAATGGTGATCCAGATCCTTCAGTACGATGTGTTTTAAGTGATGGATTCAGCTTGAAAACTGCATTTGAAACACTTGTATTTTATATGAAGAAAGGGTCCTGTACATTTCTAAACTATCAAGGACTTTCAAGACAGTTGCAAGACAGCTTTGCACCAGAACTCATCTGGCCAAAGCAGATCTTAAAATTAAACCAAAGATTTTTGTCTTACATTGGTTTTAAGATGTACTTTTCCTTCTGAATTAAGCTTTTCCAGTCATTATAGTCCTGTTTACAGCATTACTTGCTCATTGGTTATTCATGTCTGTGTGTTAATCAACTTAAACTCGTAAAAGGTTCATCCTTTTGATTTCTTCAGAAGTGTCAATACTTATTTCCAATTTTCTTGTGGTGACAGTTGCTTGAAATGCAACCTCTCATTTTCAAATAGGGCTGAACAGAAAAGCCACATAATTAACACACCTATTAACACACTCCAAAAAGAATGCAAAATCCAGAGTTCTCACAGCCTGTGTAGCATGGAAATTCACACGAGCAAAAAGGTTCCTCAGCTTCTTAATACCACAGTTATTAACTACAGCTAACACCCCAGTTCCTAGCATGGGGATATAGAAATAAATGTGACAGTTAATGTTAACATTTAATAAATGTTATTGTTAATGTTAACATCTAATTTTTGAGCACCTGCCTGTGCTTTTTAATTCAAAGATTTTAGTACATACTTTTGAAGATTTCCAGAAAAGCAAAAGGAAGATAAATATGAAGGCTATCATGGGATAAAAAAGCAGAATGTTCAGATCCGTAATGTGGAGGAGTAAGCAGGCAGCGTACTGGGCTGTTATTTCTTATCTTTCTATTCTGTGACCACAAGCAATCCAAAGACTATGGGAAGCTGCTCACATCTTTTCTGAAGAACCATCTTGCCTGTCTAGCATTTTCAATCACCAGCTTTGTTATTAGGTGGCTGGGCAGTCAACTGTGATTCCAGAAACTTTGGGAAACACTGTTCCCCATAAAGCAACCACAAGAAAGGGAAAAAAATTAATTCAAACTATTTGCTAGAAAGCCACAAACATCAGGAGCCAGAATTTCCAGTGCAGATCCTGCAGTTACCACCTGCACAGCGAAGCCCACAGCTTTGCCCCAGTCCTTCCCAACAGCAGGGTGACTATGGAGAAGACATGGCTTGGTCATAAGGTAGTGAAGACTTTTTCTCAAGTATAAGTGACCTTACACTACCTCTCCTTGTAGGATGCGTTCCCTGTTTATAGGGTGTATACTGGGAAGGGGAGAGAGGAGAACGATGCCTGCCTGCGTCCTGCCAGGAAGCCCTCCCCAGTAAGAAGGACCATGCCATACACACACTCTTAATCACATTTTTTAAACCTTGCTGGGACCATAGCTGTCTCACTGCTAAGGAATGCTGGTGTAAGCAATACTGCTGCTATTTCAGACCTGAAGAAGGATTTGTGTGCCTGAAAGCTTGCCTGTTTTTTCCAACTGTAACAGCTGATCTAATAAAAGATACTGCCTTTCCTTAAAAACCTTAAATTGCATTACTGTTCCCTGATTTTGTTGGGGTTGGATCAGGTTTTAACAGCTGATGCGGTGCTGTTCGACAGGCAGTTGGCATTCTGGAAGGTGTCAAAGAGAACACGCTGTCCTGTAAATGGTAATGGCAAATTTTACAAAGGAAGAAGAGAGGCTGCAAATATACCATCAGCCTACAGGGCACATTCAGAACAAATCAGCATGGGAAATTAATCCAGATCAAGCAAGTGTCATACCAAGCAGGAGTGTAAGAGCAAATTACAATACAAAAGCAAAACCCATGCTGCTTACGGGCAGCTAAGTGAAGGATTTGTTCAAGTTTTAAAGGTTTTAAAATCTGACATACCATGAAGTTAACACAAAATACTTCTGTAAGAGTAAATTTAAGTATCATTTGAGATATATTTTAGAGGCACTATTTTAGACAATGTTAGGGCCAGCTTCTTAGCCAGAAATTTGCAGAATTCTGGCACTTGAGCTACAGCGTCTTCGTTCCGGTTCCCACTTGCACACGTACGCTTCAAAATGCATTGATCCATGTTGCAGGCATATGAAGTCACCAATCACTCCACAAAACTTTTCAAACTCAACCCTTTTTCAAAATCAACAATGTTAGATCAAATCTAGATGAACTAAAGGAAAGAAAAATCAGTATTCCTCAAACATCCCACCACAATAAAATGAATCAACAAATTTTTTGCTGGTCTTTGGGGCACTGTTCAGGTAACTCTAAGCAATAGGTACCAGTGCCTCCTCTCCATGCTCTGCTCATCTCGGCTGAGGTCACTGATCATTTTCCCAGGTGAAATTCCACTTCAAAACAAGGAAGCTGTAAATGTTTATACCAAAAGCAAACTTTTTTTTCTCCTTTCCTAGACATACTGTGACTCTAGATCATAGAATCATAGAAGCACTTTGGTTGGAAAAGACCTTTAAGATCATCGAGTCCAAC